GAATTCAGTCACCACCTTCATCCTGGTGCCTCTTTCTTTTCCCTCTTATTTTATGGATTTACATAATTTTACAATGACATTTTGGACAACTGTAACGACCTAGACCATAAATAGGATTGGAAATTAAAATGCTATCAGTTGTCGCATTGTCCTTTTGCCCAATTCCTTCAATTCTGTACTTTTCAAGCATTTATGTTTTCAGTCCTGTTACTCATAACACTTTTGCCTCAGCATCTTTTTTACTGAGATCAAAGGTATTTACCACCATGCTCACTTTATTATTTCTTAAAACGATGAGGAGTATTCGTTTCAGTTTACTTGGCTATTAGTCCTTCAAGAACTGCAGTTAGTTAGAATGCATCTGAGATGTTTGTGACAGTGCTTCTCAAGATGTGGGTCACATCCCCTTTGGGGGGTCAAATGACCCTTTCACAGAGGTTGCATATCAAATATTTACATTACAATTCTTAACAGTAGCAAAATTACAGTTGCGAAGTAGCAATGAAATAATAGTATGGTTGGGGGTCACCACAACATGAGGAACTGTATTAAAAGGTCGCAGCACTAGGAAGGTTGAGAACCACTGCTCTAATCTGAAACTCTTACCGTAATGGGCTATCTATTGATAGGAAGTTATTTAATGCATGATCTTCTTTCACTTTGAGTTCTGCTGGACATATTTTCCAGAGTTTATAGAGTTTCAAGTTGTGAACTTTTGGAATATTGGGCACTTTAATGATGTCTCATTTTCTAAATTGTATTTCTTTTAATCAAAAATGATTAATTCTTTTCACTTTTCTCAAAAAAATTTTGCTTCTACCCATTTTCTATTTATGAAATCCCAAAAGTCTGTATGTGGGATGGTTTTAACTTATCTCACAAGTTGCCGAGGCTTGGCTCATTTTTAAAATCTTGGTCTGTGCTAGGAAGAGAGCACAGTTGGTAAAGGTCTTGCTTTACAAGCCCAGTGACCTAAGTTCTGTCCCCAGAACCCACATTAAAAATCCAGGATATGGTGGCTCACACCTGTGACCCCAGCATTGGAGAGGCAGAAACAGGGGAATCCCTGGAACTCTCTGGCCAACTGGTCGAGCACAATTGACAAGTTCCAAGCCAATGAGAGGTTTAGCCAGAGAGAGAGGGGGAGATACAGGTGGATGGTACTTCTCTAGGGACACCCAAGGTTATCCTCTAACCTCCATATACAAGCACACACACACAAACACATGTGCATATATGCATGTACACACACACATACACACACACACACACACACACATCCAAAAAATTTACTTTTTTAATTTTAGAATTTATATTGAACTATTTTTATAGTTACGTTTTCATTTTCAGTGGCGCACGCCTTTAATCCCAGCACTCGGGAGGCAGAGCCAGGCGGATCTCTGTGAGTTCGAGGCCAGCCTGGTCTCCAAAGTGAGTTCCAGGAAAGGCGCAAAGCTACACAGAGAAACCCTGTCTCGAAAAACCAAAAAAAAAAAAAAAAAAAAAAAAAAAAAAAAAAAAAAAAAAAAAAAAAAAAAAAAAATTTTTTTCTATTTTAATGCTTGAGGTGTTAATAAGCTCATCTGATGAGTTACAATGATTTTGTGATTTTCAGTTTTTATTAATTGGCCTTTACAATTTTGCAAATATATATATAATGCCTGTTTTATAAGCCTTTTCTGGCTATTTAATTATTTGAGTTTGTATTCACCTAGTTTTCGTGTCATTACAATGACATCGTTCTACTTAGTTTTAGTGATTTTACATTAGTTGCTGGGCATTTTGATATCATGTTGTTATGCACGGAGTTCTGTGTGGAGTGGTACTCAAACTACTTGCCAATCAGCTTGTTCCTTTGAAGCTTCACTTTAAATTTTATTAGGATAGAATATCTGATTTAGGAGATGGACCAAGCATCAAGGAAGCCTCCTGGGAATTCCCCATGCTCATCTCTGCGGTTTCCCCTGTCTCCAATAATTCTTTTCACCTCATTCCCAAGAACTGTTCTTTCCCTATTTAAATCACTGAGATCAAGATATGCTGCTTGGGCCCTCATTTTTGAAGCACAGTCCAACAAGTTTGTACTGGCACAAAGTCCCTGTGATCAGAGAGTACAGCTCATTTGGTTTTCTTCTCTGAGAAATCACAGACCTTTGCTTATTCCTGTAACCACCCCCCAAAAAGGTGAAGTTTTCATTTTTATGTTTTAATACTTTAACATATTTATGAACAGAGAGTTAGGCTAGTACATATTATTTCGACATTCTCACACATACTGAATGTTCATTTAAGTGTCAACTCAATTATTGAGAAAGGGATATCGAATTCTGCATTTTATCTATTCACCCCTATAGTTCTTTCAATTTGGGCTTTATATTTATATTAGGCACATATACTTCTAATTTGTATGACTTCTTAATACATCAAAATTTTATCCTTAGAGATAAAATATAACCTATCAATATTCCTCATTATGAGTCGCAAGTTGTCTGATATGAACAAAGCTATACTAAGCACACTGTATTTTTATGTCTGCCCTTTTCCATAATTTTATCTTCAATTATTTCACTATATATTTAAGAAGTATCTTTTTTTATTAAGAAGTTTTTTGTTCATTTTACATACTAACCACAGATCCCTCTCCCATTCCTGCTCCTGCTCCTAGCCAGCCTCCCCCTACCCCAAACTCACCCATCCCCTCCTCCTAAAAGATAAGGCCTCCCATGGAGTGTCAGCAAAGCCTGGTGCATTCAGTTGAGGCAGGTCCAAGCCCCTCCCCACTGCATGAAGGCTCTATAAAGTATCCCATCATAGGTAATGGGCCCAAAAAAGCCAGCTCATGCACCAGGGATAGATCCTGATCACACTTCGAAGCCCCTTAAACAGACCAAGCTACACAACTGTCTCCTTTATGCAGAGGGCCTAGTTCAGTCCCATGCAGGCTCCCCAGCTATTATTGGTCTAAAGATCATGAGTTCCTACTAGTTTGGTTCAGTTGTCTCTGTAGGTTTCCCCATCATGATCTTGATGTCCCTTGCTAAGAAGCATCTCACATATCACTTATAAGGTAAAAAGGAAAGGGAATGAAGTAATGATGTAATTATACATATAATCTCAAAACATAAAAGAAGTAATTTTTACAAGAGATGGTACTGAGATAAGATATGCTTTCTCATTTGCCATGATTTCTTTAATGTATAAAAACTATAGTTACTAAAGTATATAGTTAATAGTCGAAAGGCTACTCAGGATACACTTTCTATCTGTGTGATCACAACGCCTCCTGAAACAATGGAGTAGGATAGTATTCCAGCTCTGTCATTTCAGTGTAGGACTTTTAACATTCCCTACATGTGCCAGGAGCTGTATTGGACAATAATATCATTAAGACAAGAAGAAGGAAATAGACTGATGGATTGGTCAATGTAGTAAAATAGATGTCTTCTGTGCTCGGGTCATATTCCATCCTTTATATTATGTGTTGTGGATAAAATATAATGTAAAACATGCCCTTTAATCTCAAAAAAATCTAAGGGGTTTATCCATCTTCGATAGTGCTTGGCAGATGTTGAAAAGAAAGTTGTCTTTCTCTACGTTTTAGGGCAGAGGATCTCAGGATGTCCTAAGGGACAGACCACATATTGAATGAGCCTCACCCAAATTGCACCTAAGCCCTGCACTAGCAGAAACCTTGGTAGAACTATGCTGATTTCCCTCATTATCTCTGTTTAACAACAGAAAGGCAGGATCTTCCCTGCTACAAACTACATTGCATGGAGCCAATACATTTTTTAAAATAGTGTCAGCATTAAAAAAAAAAAAAGATTGGAAAAGCACAGAGTAAATACATACAATAAATAATCAAGACAAAATTAGAGAGGGAAAACAAATAACTAGCTAATGGAAATACTACATTTAATCAGCAAGAAGGATAAAATATCCATAAATGCTGAATTAACTATCAAGAAATCAAAAGAAGACAAGAGGCAAGTAAGAGAATAAGAAACAGGACAGACCCCAAAGAACAACCTAAATTATGTGTCTGAAACCCTAAGACGACAAAAGAGCAAACAGCGCCTACTGGTCAAAGTCCAACCCATGACTACTTTACCACTAACTTTGAATGTCACAGACTTACGGCCGAGTTTCACAAAAAGGCAAATACCAGTGAGTACATATGTTATGATTCTGTTAATCTATAAATTACATGAACAGCTAAAACTGTCCTGTGGAAACTGAGGTTGTGTTATTTATGGGGGCAGCAGTACCTGTGAGGGAATTTAAAGGTCTGCCACTATTTTATAATCTGAGTCCAGTACTATTTACGTTTATGTAGGTAGTTTTTTCAAATTTCACTAGATTTTCCTCTTGATAGGTACATTAGCTTGGGTGGGTGTTATTTTTCAACACAGCATTTCACAAAGATTCACAGGTTTCCTCGAAGTCTAAGAAATCATCAAACCAGCCTTCCCACCTTTATAGCTATAATCTGTATTAATCATATTTTGCGGAGGGATGTAAAATCTGAGATAAACAGCAAAAAAAAAGGAAAAATGAGTTTGGCCCCATAGTTTCTGTGGCTTCTACATTGGCTGGGCCCACTGCTTTGTGCCTGATGAGATTCATGGCAATGCATGTCTATTGAGATAATGGGGCTCCCTCAAAAACAATTTATTTTTAATATCAAAGAATGGAAAAGCTGGCTAAGAAAGGATAACAATTGCTTCTCTGGTACCATGGGGAAAATTAATCCAACTTACAACAGAGTCCAACAAAATTGTACAATCTGGTTTCAAAATTTTTCTTGTCTCATCAATTATTTAACTCTGTCTTACTTAAGGACTCGTTAATTTTTTTCTTCCCAATGTGTTGTTATGTACCAGTCTGTGCAGATGTATAATTGCCCACCCTAACCCTTACTTCTCAGAAATATTTTCAAACTAGAACAGTATTTTTTTTAATTTGAGTGACTATGTGATATCTATTTTATCCTCCTGTAGAACTGCATCCAAACACGTCAACAAGGACCTTGGGAATATGGAGGAGAATAAAAAGCTAGAAGAAAACAATCACAAGACAGAAGCCTAAGAGAGGAGAGGTTCCAGGTGTCCAGGTAGGTGGGACTGGGGGCGTGGTTTGTAGAGGCAACTCCTGGGAAGTGGGGAAGCCCTGTGGGGGTGAAACCCAAGCTTCACTTGCAGATACTTCTTAATTACAGCTCCCCAAACAGGAAGAAGGTTTTCAAAAGGGAACATCAGTGACTCATTGCTTTCAGAAGAATGGATTCTTCCCAGTCTCCTCAACCTCCCCAACATAATTATTATCCACTGAATAATAAAATCCATTTTGGAGATTTTTTTTTAACATCTCATTTGCATTTTGTTTTTTAATGCCAAAAAATTTTCCTGCACACAAAGAAGCTTTATTTCATAAGTTGGTATTTAGGTTTAGTAAGCACAAACACTAAGTTTATTTTTAAAACCCATTAGAATAAATTTTAATATATAAATACTTTAATCCAAGGATATGGCATAATTGTTGAGTGTATTTATACAGTCATCTCTCCAGTCATTTTAATGAAAAGGCTGACAAGCTTGTATACACACACACACACACACACACACACACACACACACACACACACACGCAGGCTTTCTTCTCCATAGTACGTGTATATTATGTTTGTGTGAGTACATATGCATACAAGTACCTACATGTGCACATATGTGTGTATTAGTGCTACATATATTGCATAAATTCATATATATTAGTGCATCCATATGATTTTTAAGGCAGCCTTGAAAAAGTGTATGTCTCAATATTGCCACATACAATTGATCATTTTCTTTTTGTTTGGTTGGTTTTGGGTTTGGGGTTGTTGTTGTTGTTGTTGTTGTTTGAGACAGGGTTTCTCTGTGTAACAGCCTTGGCTGTCCTGGAACTCACTTTATAGACCAGTTTGGCTTCAAACTCAAAGAGATCTGCCTGCTTCTACCTCCTGAATGCTGGGATTAAAGGCGGCATGTGCCTGGCTCATTTTCTTCTTGGGTCCCCTTGAGACTAACAAAGGCATCATTTGGATTAATTAGTCTGTGTGTCATGGAGATAACTGCTATGACTAAGAAGGTGTAAAAAGCCCAACTGTGCCAAATGGTGGTGGCACATCCCTTTAATCCCAGCACTTGGAAGAGAGAGGCAGGTTGATCTCTGTGAGGTCAAGGATAGCCTGATCTACAAAGTGATTTCCAGGACAGCGAGGAAGACAGACAGAGAAACCCAAAACAAAAACGAACAAACAAAAAGCAACCAACTAAACAAAAGCCCAAGTGCTGTGAACTTTGGGTGCAGTATAAATGAACTTCAAGTTACAATCTGAATGGGTCATTAAGTTCATTTCATAGCAACGATGAAGGGCATGAAAAAGAATTACAATTGGAAGGCTATACCCAGGAGAGAAATGTGGCATAATGGAATGAGATCCGTTTGCAAAGTCGAATAGCTGGATTCTCAAAGAGACAGAGGAGTCAGAACTACACTCATTCTCCCAATCTGCTCACTGGGACCCAAATACCTAGTTAGCAATTTCACACTTTCTTCTCTGATGCTCTGCTCTCTTTTCCTCAATTCCATGTAAACATACCCTTTGTTTACATCAAAATTGGGTTGAGTTCCATCTCACTATAAAACTGAAGACAAGTTCCACAAATTAGACTGTGATTTATAGGGATGGGTGCATTTTAAATTTGAGGAGAAATGTCATGAAATATTGTCATGGAACATCATTATTCTCCTCTTATCTTTATGTAAAGTAATCATGTCTTACAAAAGGAGGGAGGGAGAGAGGAAAGGAAGAAATGGAGTGAAGAAGGGAGGGAGAGAAAGAGGGAAGGAGAAAGGGAGAAAGGAAGGAAGGAGGGAAGGAAGAAAAGAAGGAAGGAAGGAAGGAAGGAAGGGAAGAAGGAAGGAAGGAAGGAAGTCATCAATTCCAAAACAATAGGGCTGGGTTTACAAGTGAACTCAGGACAACAGAGTTCTATAAATAATCCCTTCTATGATGTCATTATTGTCACTTTTAGTGCAAAGGATCTGCTGATGGTGAAAAATGTCTGTTACGGTAACTTATCTTCATTATGTTTTTCATCATTTCAGAGAAAAACCATATAGACAAACTGAAGCATGAACGTGGATGTATTTAAGACATATACAAAGACAATGACAGCAATTCATGGTTCAAGTATTACGCAGTTCACCCTACCAAGCTGTCACAGGATCTTAGAGAATTATCTCAAGTAAAACAATGAAATAAAGTTATAAAATAAAATAACAACAAGATTTGGCAGCCATGATAATAGGTCATATGTTGTATTTGGTTCGATTTTTTTTTTTTTCTGTAAATGTCTGCACTAAGGATTTCCTTTCAGTTTGCCTTTTGTGTAAATTTTTTACGTAGCTATTTTTATACACTGTAAGCTTTGTTCTGGGAGTGGCTGTTAATTGGATGTATAATGTAATGTTTTATTTCAGTTGTTTATATGGATAGTCTGAGCAGGTACGGTTCTGATTCTGATTGCTATCAACAATGCCCCAAATGTCCTTACGAGGACCTGAAACCCAAAGGTGGTAGTTTGTGAGACTGGGGACATATACCTTGCCCAATCAAAAGCTGGTTTCTTCATTCTGAGGATGGGAGGCCAGCCCCACGAGTCGGGAGCACTACTGGATATGATGGCCTGCATGCTGCCAGAGTGCTCTCAGAACCAAGTGACGAACACAAACAGTAACACCACATGACAATGACATTCCCAAACTGACAGTTTTGTCTTCTCTGAGAAAGACATACACAGAATTTGGGTCACATTTGCTTAACGACACCTGCTAGGAAATTACATTCAGTCAAAAAGAAAAATTAGGAAAAAATAATAAGGAAAAAAACTAACGCGTCAGAGAAAGTTCGGAAAAATAACAGCTAGCATTCCCATTTTCACAGATCACAATGTAAATCACTGTAATTAAAATTGGTGTTAAATCCTTTGGGTTAGCCACTGCCTTAAAATGACACTTATTTCCTTTTAAAAAATAAAATAAAATAAGAGATATCAGTCAGAATTGCAGATTTTTAACAGTGGTCATTATTAAAGCTGTGTTATTTTCCACAGAATATAGAATATATATTTTTTTCGTGTGTGTTTTTGTTAACTACGCTACAGATACTGAATGCACCTTGAGATAATTTAGTGTTTTTAACTGGTACATAATTTATCAAGCAGTACATGAAAGTGTAATAATAAAACGTCTATGTATCTTTAGTTACATTCCGATTTGTAACTTTATAAACATGTTTTCTGCCTGATGAACTTTTTAAGGAGGTAGTGTACATGGGAACTTTCGGAAGTAGACTGGATAAGGGCCATTAGCGATTTGTGATTAGACTTTTACTCTTTGCTCTTTCAAGTAGAAGCTTGGTTTCTGGGATCACACTGCACAGCCATTTTGTCCCAGATTTACGTGGATAACTTTAACTGATAAAAGAAAAAAATTGACTATTAGATTTCCTGGTATAGAACTATGTTCTTTGAGAGGAAAAGGAAATACGGTGTTTGCTTTTAGACTCAAAGAATAACCTGTTTGGAAGGCAATGAGAAACTAATCAAAGATTAATCTCTGATGGAGGTTGGGAATAATCTTTTGCCACTTCTGCATACTGAGAGATGTGTCTTTGTACATTTGTAACCATTTGATATCTGAGCAATAGTGTCTCAGCTTAATAAAAGCTTCCTATAGTACATTGGTATGGATTAAATACGTAAAATATTCTATTAGACTCAATGCTGTATAAAATATGGGGGAAAAAGAAAACATGTTATTTTGCCTCTAAACTTTGATTTATTGAAGTTTTATTTGGCAAGAAAAAAAATTGAATCTTGATCAATATTTAAACCAAAGGGAAAAGGGAAAAACAAAACAAAACCAAAGTTCTTTGTTTTGCATGGCTAAGCCATTCTGTTTATCTCTGTAAATAATATGATTTCTTTTTATTTTCTTTTTCCTTTCTCTTTAGAATTTTGTTAAAGAAATTCTAAAAGTTTTAAACACCTGTTTTCCATAATAAGCCATGAACACTACAGTGAGATTAGTTCCGTATTAATATTTTTTGTTTGTTTTGTTTGCTTTTTTTTTTCCTTCGGTATGGGATATCAAAGGTGTAAAGTCTTACTCCTGAGATGTGTTTGCAGAAGAGTAACAGGGCAACAAAAAGAGAGTGTTTACTCTAGTCCAGCGTGATGTACACTTGGAATTGTAACTGAGTCCACAAACAGCTGTTAACAACCTAGACGGCAGCGTGAGAGGCTCAGAGCTCTTGCCAGGAGCAGATGTTTACAAGAGAGGACAAGATGGCCACTGCTGCATCAGTGTCTGCCTAAGGAGGAAGCTCACTTGCTTAAGAGTAACTCTGTGTGCTGTCACACTGGAAGGATGCTCATTTGCAGTCTTCAACTTCTGGGGTTTCTTCTCTCCAACTGTACTCGTTGGCAACAGGATACAGGTTTTTTAACCAGTTCAAGGTTCACTCCCTATATGTAATTATAGGAATTGTATGTGGAAATGGATTAACATATCCCTCTATGCCTAAAAGAAAATAAAATGAAATATGTCTTCACATATCCCTCATAGCTGTCCGCCTCTTGTCTGCAATAGAATGTTCATGTACAAAAAAAAGTGATTTTCTTTAATAAAAAGTGGAAAAAGATGATGTGACTGTCCATCCCTCCAGAAATGGATTATGAAAGAATAAAAGTACCTGGACTTCTTCCTGTCGTGAGGATACCTTGAGTTTTCACCAGTGACAGCTCCTCAAGGTGTCTGTCCTCACTGATAGGGCCACAGTGCCCCAGGCTAACCCATTTAACTACCCTTCGGTTTTAATTAAAAGACACTTGACTTTCATCTTTCTTTACCTCACTTTAGATCACCGTGTAAAATTATCTAGGCATAATCTTTCACAGAAATGTACTTTCTTTAAAAATCGAATAAACTGGCTATATACATCAGAGGTAAAAAGCAACGTTTTTTGGAGTAATTATCTAGCTGGCCATAGTTGTTCAGGCATGTAAT